CTAAGTGCAGAGACTGATGCAAGAGGCCAGAGAGTGATTCCTTTCTGCTCTACAGAAACTGAAGTCAGAGTAATAATAATAATAATAATAATAATAATAATAATATTATTAATAATTTATTTGTATCTCGCCCATCTGGCTGGGTCTCCCCAGCCACTCTGGGCGGCTTCCACAAATACCAAAAATACACTAATATGTCACATATTAAAAACTTCCCTGAACAGGGCTGCCTTAAGATGTCTTCTGAATGTCAGGTAGTTGTTTATCGCTTTGACATCTGCTGGAAGGGCGTTCCACAGGGTGGGCGCCACTACCGAGAAGGCCCTCTGCCTGGTTCCCTGTAGCTTTGCTTCTCGCAGCGAGGGAACCACCAGAAGGCCCTCGGCGCTGGACCTCAGCGTCCGGGCAGAACGATGGGGGTGGAGACGCTCCTTCAGGTATACTGGGCTGAGGCTGTTTAGGGCTTTAAAGGTCAGCACCAACACTTTGAATTGTGCTCGGAAACGTACTGGGAGCCAATGTAGATCTTTCAAGACCGGTGTTATGTGGTCTCGGCGGCTGCTCCCAGTCACCAGTCTAACTGCCGCATTCTGGATTAGTTGTAGTTTCCGGGTCACCTTCAATGGTAGCCCCTGTGTTCCCTGACACACAAACACCCAAGAAGTGAAAGCAAGCTCCCTGCTGCTGCTCCTTCTGTGGCTGATGGAATGGGGCGCAGCTGGTCTTCTCCTTGCCATGTTCTTCCAAAGGCACCGGGAGAACAGCCGCCTTAGCCTCTTAAACTGGATGGGGCCAGAGCGTGCAACACCACATCAGCTCTGCAATCCCGGAGCAATTGGAGCTGAGATTTCTCTCTTGCAAGAAAGGTGGAGAGGAAAGCTCCTTGCTGCTGTTCTTTCTCTGGCTGGTGACTGTGGCCAAGCTAACCTTCCTCCTGCTGCGATGTTCTTTCCTGGTAAATCTCTCAGCATCTTTTGCTGCTGCAGCTGATGAATGGGGACCAGAGCCTGTTTCCTTTCTGCTCTGAATATCCAGGTCAACTGATTGCATTTTTATTTACAAATACTTCCATCTTGCCCCTTTTCTGTTTCGTGCAAATGTGCCTTCTCTGAACCGCGTGTAAACAAAGCACTGTAACCCCCAGCTTTTGCCAGTCAGATGAACTATAGAAATCCTGAAATCCAGAACAGACGGGACAAAGATTGCATTGGCTCTACAATCTGAAGCAGATCGGGCGATTTATTCCTCCACAAACATCCAAAATAAAAACAAATGTTTGTGATGGCGTGGAGAAAACCAGCCCCGGTCTGTGTGCAGAACTGCAACATGTGAACATTTGGTATGGAGTCCACACATCATGGCAGAGTTCTGCATGAGAAAGCCTGGAGTTCAAAACATGTTTTGAACTCTGGTCCTGTATGCTGGCTTCCCAGAGACATCTATCTGGTGGTGGACCATAGTGAGAACAGGATACTGGAATAGATGGGCAATTGGCCTAATCCAGCCAGGCTCTCCTTATGTTTTTAGGTTGGCAAAGGTTGATTTACAAACACAAGTTATTTCTTATTAGGCCAGTGAAACCTATGAGGGTTTTGGACTGTCCACTTCACTGCAGCACAAAACCTGGAGCCTGGTAACTGCTAAGAGGTGTCGTATTTATTTAACGAAAATGCATATACCGCTTAATTGTACAGCCAACATGAGTGTGTGTGCGTGTGTTGAATTATCAGTAAAAGGCTGTTAAAAACGGGTACTCAGAAATATCCAAAATATATTTTAAATTAATAAACTAAAAACCAATTCAAACATGTCAACATTCTACCTAGGTATTACCCCCCCCAAAAAAAAAAAAAAATTCAGCAGCAGCAGCTGGAAAATATATAGCAAGGGAATCTGTGTCAAGAAGCAGGGAGTTCCAAAGAGTAAAAGTGCCATCCCACTAAAATATTTTTTATTATGTTAATATTAATAAAAATAAATTTATACCCCGCCCATCTGGCTGGGTTTCCCCAGCCACTTTTACAGATGCAAACAGGTATTCTGTGGCACCTGTAACAATGCCAGTTCTACATGTAACCAACTCTATTTAGCCAAGAGTAAATCCACCAAAATGTATGGCTCCACGTCATCTCAATGGGTCTACTCTGAATAGGTTTAGAATGAAATACAAGCCTCTGTTTTCAGTCAAAATTGTTCCCTGCCCCCACATAACCGGAATACAATTTCAGGGTTATGTGATATTACTTATCCACTAAATATCTCCAGTTTTATCTAAGATATCTTTGCCAGGCTTTTAATGGATAACGTTATTGCAACCATCTCTTATTTCATTGCGGCTTTTACTTCTGTTTTTAGCTGGCGGTGCAAAAAAAATAAAATGTTCATCAATTTTTATGTCAATTGCTAGAGTCCACGTCTTTTGTTAAGGTGGCCACATTGAAGGCTTCATCTGAAAGGCAGTCTTTTTAAAATCTTCCTTCAAAATAAAATAAAAATTGTCCTTTAGAGAAAAGCAAGGCAGGCACTTATGTGCAACGATAAAAACCCAGAATGCAAATTATTCTGCAGCTAACTAACTAGTTCACAAGGGCTTTAAACATTGTTCAATTTAATTGCATGGCTTTTCTGCCATCTGAAAACCAGTATCATCCTAGTGGTTTAAGACATTGTGTCTGAATAGCTTTATGCTCTTAGTTGGGGATAGGAACAACTTTGCTTGCAGCTACTGCCCTCTGCAGGAGAGGAAAGGGTACTGAGGGAGCTCTCCATGGTAGCAAAATTGAACCATACAATCAAATCTTTAGGAAACACAGCAGAAAGATGGAAATACCCAGCTGGTAACAATTCTGCTTCCCTCCAGACATCGTTGGTTATATGGCACAGGTTTTTTTGGCAGTTGAGATGCAGGGAATCCAAGAATGTGCCTTCTCCTTTTTCAAACGCGTCCTAAGAGTAAGAATGTTTTTCTAATCCCCCTTTGATCAGTTCATCATGGGCAAATCTTCAAACCCTATTAATCTTGCTGCTGCTCCTGTCTGGTGCATATACACCTTTTTTTGTGTGTCCGGTGATGCAAATGCTAAGAGCTCAGTTGGATCGGGCCCAAAGGTAAAAGGTAAAGGAGCCCTGGACAGTTAAGTCCAGTGAAAGGCGACTATGGGGTCGCGGCACTCATCTCATTTTCAGGCCGAGGGAGCCGGCATTTGTCCACAGTTAGTTTTCTGGGTCACGTGGCCAGCATGACTAAACCACTTCTGGGACACCGTGATGGAAACCAGAATGCACGGAAACACCGTTTACCTTCCCGCCGCGGCAGTACCTATTTATCTACTTGCACAGGTGTGTGTTTTTTGGGGGGGGTTGCACTGGTGTGTTTGTTTTTTGTTTTTGTTTTGCACTGGCAGGCTTCTGAACTGCTAGGTTGGCAGGAGCTGGGACAGATCAACGGGAGCTCACCCCATCGTAATGATTCGAACCGTCAACCTTCTGATTGGCAAGCCCAAGAGGCTCAGTGTTTTAGACCACAGCGCCACCAAGGCTCACCTAGTCCAGCATCCCACCCTCACAGCAGCCAACCAGATGCCTGCAAGAAGCCTGCCAGGACACGAGTACAACGGCACTCTCCGCTCCTGCTGTTTCTGGCAACTGTTACTCAGAGGCAGACTTCCTTTGACTGCGGAGGTTGTTGGCATCCATCTTGCCTCAAGAAATGGAGCGTGCCTCCAGGGGTAAAGCCAAACTGCTGCATTAGCAGCACCGAAGCCACCTCCCCAGGTACATACCTGGGCAGCATGTCTGGAGGTCCTGAGCTGCCCAGACAAGGGAACCCCCCCCCCAGCCTTGCTGATGTGATCCAAAGCAGAGCGATACATTTAGCACCAGCTTGACTGCAGGAGTTGCTGGGATGAAGGAATACAAGGCGCCATTCATTTGTCTTAGGACCCCACTCTGGATGTGTGTAGGCTTTACTGCTTAGTCTTTTCTTCTCCAACAAGGCAGCATAGGTTGAGGATCAGTGTCCGTCTGTCCCCTGTCCCCCCCCCCAAAAAAAAACCCCAGTCCTTTTCATTGGGGATAATTCAGATGGAAATTCCAAGATGTCAGGAAAGGTTATTTATGTATGCCACTACTGCGGCCCATGTTTTATTAGCCCAAAAATGGAAAAAAGAGCAAAGTCCAGACTAAAGAAGATTGGCAATTTAAACCGATGGAATATGCGCAGCTTGCAGACTTAACATACAGAATAAGAGAAGAAGAACGTACGTTTAAAGAAGGATGGGAAATGTTTATTGAGTATATGGAGGAAAACTGTGTTTATTTGAAAACGTGGGCAGCATTAAGATAAATTCAACAGCGTAATTAAGTTTTGATGGATGTAATAATGGCATACTGAATGGTTTGGTTCATATAAGATATGCAGGGGTTTATGTTGAGCAAAATGAACCATGGAAAGAGAGGAAGGGAAGTCATTGATATCTTAAGGTTGTTTAAGTGAATATTATAAACAAGCCTCAGATTATTACTTGGTGTAATAATCTCACTGCTGCTTTAGCAGGCTTGGGAGAGGTCAGTGGCCTGATGGGAATGCAGGGTTCGCCATTGTGAATTTCATGATGGATGAAATGCAAGATAGATAAATAGATAGATCACTGTTACTCAACGGCACCCACAGCAAGGTTTGCAGCGCCTCACTAGAATCCTGGATTTGCATTTAGTCAGAGACAGGGAGAGAAGGCAGGTTTTATAACGGTGGTTTTAAAGAACAGCAATGATGGACAGAGAGAGAGGAGCCGTGAAGATGGTGGGCCTTCAAGGAACCAGGCTGGGATGGGGTGTAAAGGGATGGGGCGAGGTTAAAGCAAGCGGGAGCAGGAACCCCTGGCAAATATGATCTTTAAAAATATCCCACAACCACAATGGGAACCCCAAAAAGTTAGGGAGGTCCACTGCCTCCCTTTAGAGGAGAGAGAAGCACACACACACAAACACAGAGACAGGGCCCTCTTTACAGAACACGATTTATTTGGCATTTGGATGAAATGTCTCTCACAGCATCTTGAGAAAAATAAAAGATTAGTGTCATCCCATCCCACCCTCTTTTTCTCCTAAAAAATAAAATAATAATAAATCAAAACATTAAAACTTAAAAAAAATGTCACAGGGACCGAACTATTACAGTATCAAATTTCTTTTCTACATAGTATTTTCATGGAATATCAAAATCTTTTTTTTTATTTAACACGCACACGCACGCACACACAGCCACAGTGACATCCAATCACAAATCAACAACACGGGGTGGGGGGAGTCCTGCAGACACACAGCCTTGGCTAAAAGTGATTTTCCGAGAAGCTAATAAGCAAGTGTCTCATTTGTCGCCTTGTACGCATGTCCCAAGCAAACAGCAAGTCTAGCATCCAGCCGTCAAAAAAAGAAGCGTGACAATTAAGAGATTCGAACACAGAAAGCTGCCTTGTGCTGCGTCAAATCATTGGTCCGTCTGGCTCACAAATTGTCTACACTGGGGGAGGTGGAGAGGGAGAAGAGGACCTGAGGATCTCCAGATGTTCATGGAGCCCAACTCCTGTTGAGACCACAGGATTCCCACCTGCAGTCTACACTGACTGGCAGCAGCTCTCTGGAGTTTTCCATAATGCAACCTGGAGCTGTCAGGGGATGAGTCTTGGATCTTTCACAAGCAAACCTTGGGTCTACCCAGAGTTAGAGACCTCCCCCTTGGTGTTTCCCCATCATAAAAAGATGAGAGGGGCTGGAATTCAGCCAGTGCGAACTGGCTCTTCGTGCCTACGAAGAGAAATCCCCTTAAAACTGGGGAATGGAAACCACCTCTGAACACATCTGCTGCTGCTGGCTTGCCTTCACTTTTTCACATTAGCTGGGGTTTAATTTGGCCAAGGATGCACAGTCTATTAAGTGCTCTTTCCTGTCTCTCTTCCCCATCTCCACAACCGCATGCCGGCCTGTTGAAATTGACACTGTGCGGCAAAGGTTTCCAGGAGGCTGCCTTCCCTGCTCGCTGAATCGGGAGCGGCATGTACAGAAAGCCAACACAACCGTCCCTTTCAAACACAAGACCCACATCTGGGGGTGGGAGGAGACATGAACTGGAAGTCAACCAAGCCTATGTCCAAACATGCAATGTTTGAAGAACGACATCTGGGTCCCCAGAACCGATGAGAAGTTTCTTCCCTCCAGACCAAAGTAAGACTACTATTTTGTGTACGTTGAATTGGGGGGGGGGGAGAGACACACACACAAAAAAATACCTTCGTGCACAAACCGCACGCCCAAGAGGGTTTGCAAAGGGCAGCTTGTAAGCAGAGGGATGTGTCATTTAAATAGCAAAAAACAAAACAAAACCCCAAAATAGACTTCGTTTTAATAAACTGAAATTCATAGCAGAGGCCTATTTGTCTCAAATTAAGAGTTTGGCTTTTAAAAGGTTTGTTGTTGTCGGTGTGTTTGTTTCTGCTCTTCATCCTACAATTGGTCAACATGGAACCCGTGGTCAAGCAATTGGTCAACATGGAACCCGTGGCTACAAGATTAACCGCTAAAGACATTTATGCTCTGATATCTGAGTTAAAGATCAATAACCTCAATCAGACATTTGTGGAAAGATATGCAGAACCTTTACTGCTGACATCGGCTTTTTCTAAAAAATGGGGCAAAACAGTATTAAAAATAGACAAAGAAAAGAGAGGGAAAAACAATTGGGCTATTTGCAAGATGCAGAAGCCTGTAGTGCCGGGGGGGGGGGCATGTATCCCAATACAAAAACTACTGATGAGCATTGCAGATTGGTTCTGCAGTTTACTATGGCGCCTGCATTAGGCCTTATGGAACTGCTGTTGGAAGGTACCCCAAGGGTCATCTAGTCCAACCCCCTGCAATGCAGTAATCACAGCTAAAGAATCCCTCCAACCTCTGCTTCATCTACCAAGGCAGTCTGTTCCACTGTCAGATCTCATCTTTAGAAAGTTCCTCCTAACGTTCCGCCGGAATCTCCTTTCCTGCCATTTGAATCCATCAGTTCGAGTCCTCTCCGGAGAAGCAGAAAAACAAGCTCGCTCCATCTTCCATGTGCCAGCCCTCCAGATATTTGAAGGTGGCTCTCATCTCACCCTCTCAGTCTTCTGCTCTCCAGGCTAGTCTTTCTGGCAATGCCCCGAGAAGCAACGCAGGAAGAAAATTAAAAGATCTCCACAGGCTAATAGAACAAATAAACACCGGCACTTGGGAAAGGGACAGAAGCCTTCAAAGGGACACTCTTAATAGCTTTGTGTACAGTGGTACCTCTGGATGCGAACGAAATCCGTTCCGGAGCCCCATTTGCATCCTGAGTAGAATGTAACACGCGACTGCGCGTGCGTGGGTCGCGTTTCGCCGCTTCTGCGTGACGTCATTTTGAGCGTCTGCGAATGCGGCGAAACCCGGAAGTAACGCATTCCATTACTTCCAGGTCACCGCGGAGGATAACCTGAAAACACTCAACCTGAAGCATATTTCACCCGAGGTATGACTGTACAGTATTACCTTCCACTGACCCACTGCAAAGCATGGACAGTTCCGAGCAATAACACACTGAGGACTGGCTGCATGTGACGATCACTTCAAACGCTTGGGTTAACCCAGCTGAGCTCTGATATTGAAGGACTTCAGGGACTGGGCATCTTACTCCGCTCTTAGGCCCAGACCCACCTGCTGCAGAACGAATCCAAGGGCCAGCTCTGCAGCCTGGGGAGAACCAGTTCCTATCTCATGCTACTCTGCTTTGCTTAAGATCGCAAGCGGCAGCACATGCAGGTATACTCAGCACCCTGAACACTCACTCTCACACACGTACAAAACTCAAGAAGCCAGTACATACAATGTATAAAACTTATGAGTGTGCTAAAAAATGCACAAAACCCGCTTTTATTTCTCATACTTCAGAAACGCTCAGCACCATCCAACTCAGAACACGTACCTGTGGCCACAGCAGTCCAGCTACACCCGGACTCGCAGCTGAGAGGCAGAAGGAGCTGCAAGTCCTCTCAGTAAAGGAGGACTCCCTCTTGTCCTGCACTACATCCTGGGTGTGGGTGTGCAAGAAATCCAGGAACCAGGTTTTCCTCGGCTGCGAGGCAACTTCTGCAACCATTCGGACATCCCATTTGAAGCCGTGCCTTGCAGTAGCCATCGGGTCTGGCTCAGCCACCACAGGGAGGAGAGGGGGGGACCCGTTCCGCCAACCTATCAATGCTTGTTACACAAAATCCTATTACAAGACGGGTTTCCTTGCAGTTTCACACCCCCCCCCGGGGGGCAACTCCACAGAGCACTTCTGTGCTCTGAAGGAGGGTAACTGTATGAGCCTATCCTATGCCGCCAGAAGGGCTGTGTCTGCAACGCTCCTCGAGGAAAGGGGATCCTCTTATCAATGATTATCTAACATGCTTGGACAGGACCGTGATTGCCGCGCTGCAAATTGTCTTCCATCGGCTTGTGCTGATTGTTTTCAGGGGCTCTTCACAGCTGCCCTATACAGACTCAGGCAAACGGCTTGCCGAGTGGGTACCATCAGCTCCCGACGGGCAAGCAGCTCTCCAGGGGTTCAGAGAGGGCTCCTTTCCCCCAGCCCTACCCGGAGATGTCGGGGATTGGGACCTTCTGCGTAATGAAGCCTGCCCCCTTCCTTTAAACACAGCCCACGTAAGGCACCCTGACAAGCTGGGGCCTTAACTAGCCTGGTCAGCAAGTGGGAAAGTAGCGCGCGCGCGCGCTCTCTCTCTCTCTCTCACACACACACACACACACACACACACACACACACACACACTCCATGTTCCTTTCCTGTCCCTCTAGGCTTCCTGCCTTTCATAAGGTAAGAGGAACACATCAGTGAAAAGATGGAGATTACCACCTCCTCGCCTGGCCAGCCTCTCCAAAAGGAAACCAGCTAGCGACGAGAGGCGTCCTCTCGGCTCAATTCGGAAACCTCCTCACTATTTACAAGCACTCTGGAACGAAATGCACCTTGCCTTTCAAACTGGAGACAAAACTTCTCAGGGAAGAATAACACCCTGAGCGTCATGACCTAAACTGTACAAAACGCATCTTCCGACCCGGGTTCGTCATGAATTCCAGCAACGTTCACTGGCGACGGCTTTTGTCAAGCGCCGGGGACCAAAGAGGACGGTGGGGAGGGGGGAAAGGAAAGAAGAAACCCAGCCACCTGCCTAGTGACTCTTTCAATCCCAATCCCACTTACGACAACAGTGGCTATTGCTCGGACGCAATATTTACTGCTGTGCTAAACTCCACCCTCACCCAAAAAGCCTGCTATCGTTCTCTAGGGTTGCCTAATTTTTTTAATGATAATTTAAGGCTTCAATGATCAACCCTCCAGTGGTGTAAAATTAACATTGATCTAAGTAATTCTAATGAAAACCCAGAATTAAATAAGAGTAGGGGGGGGCGCGAAACCTGATGACACTGGACCAATTCATTGAAGCTTTATGGAGTTACCGGCACCATTTCATCCCCCAAACCCAGAACCTTAAAAATGCACAATGCCTGTTAGAAGCCATTGCATTGCAGGTCACAGAGTTTAAAAGAGCCGCTGTACAGGAGAAGGAAACAAGTTTCACAGAGAAGGAAACAAGTGTTTGCAAACCGTCCCCCTTGCCCTCCCCAAACATTTGGATCTCACTGCGCTACGTCGAGGAAACAGCCAAGTATCCATCAAACCCTTTTTTAAACCTCGCAGTCCGTCCTCCAAGGCAGTGTTGAAAGGAACATGACAATCAAAAGCTGAATATCCACGTCCACCTGCCTCTCTTTTCTTTGGCTCATGTTTCTATCTGCCAGGAGGGTGGTGGGGTTGTGGTTCTGCCTTCTGTTCAAAGGGACACCCAACAAGGAGCACCAAAATCCAATCTTCTGTGCTCAAGGAGGAAAGGTCTGAGTTGCGGCCGGGGAGCGTTTCAGGGCGACAAAAGAGATTCTCCAGCAGGCAGGCTCTCTGTAACCGCTTCTGAGTTTCCAAGCTCCTGTAGCCCCGTCCCCACAAAATTCAAGAAACGTCTCCATCCAATGTACAGCTCGCGGTTTCCCATGATTCACAAGGGAGGTGGAAAGAGGCCAGGCGACAAAAAGCTATCCGTGCTTTTTCTTCCTCCTTGCGAACGAAGAGTTGGGGTGCTGTTGTTCAAGAAAGATAAAAAAGAACATCCTCTGCATTCTTCCCACCATTAGTGAGAAAGGTGCAGCTTCCATAATCCTTTTTTTTAAAAAAACAAAAATAAAATTTAAAGAGGGCAACCCAACCAGGCTAGAAAATGACAGCAACAGCCAAGACGCATGATTTCCTAGAACATAAAAGTAGTGTCCTAAATAAGAGAAAAAGAAAGAAAAGAGAAACAAGGAGCGGAGCTTATTTCTGAAGTTCGGTCCATTAGTGTCCGTCTGTACATCTGGTGTGCAAACAGTTGCTCAAAAATTTATTTCTGACCGGCAGTAAGATTTCTTTTTTTTTCCAATCCCCTCCCGCCCCCCAATTTTTCCTTTATACAATGGTATTCAGAGAACAGTGACTGTGGAGGCTGCCTGAAAGTGTCTCTGCCGGTGGGCTTTCACTTAAGGGCGTGTCGGGAGGTACGAGGAGGGTGCTGCTGTCAACAGAGTCTTCCAGCTCTGCTGGAGAAGGACCAACCGAAGGAGGAAGAGATTCCTCTGTCAGCGGCGGAGATGCGTCGCCGTTTCCGAGGGACAGCTGGTTGCTCTGGCCTGTCTGGGAATGGATTCCACCTGGAAAATGGAAAAGGCAAGGAGGAATCGACAAGTCAGAGGCAGCACTCTTGAGTACGTTTCCGAGCACAATTCGAAGTGTCGGAGCTGACCTTTGAAGCCCCAAACGGGCTCAGCCCAGTATACCTGAATCTCCACCCCCAACACAGCCCGGACACTGAGGTCCAACTCAGAGGGCTTTCTGACAGTTCCCTTCCTGTGAGAAGTGCAGGTACAGGGAACCAGGCAGAGGGCCTTCTCAGTAGTGGCGCCCGCCCTGTGGAACGCCCTCCCATCAGATGTCAAGGAGATAAGCAACTATATCATCTTTAAAAGACATCTGAAGTCAGCCATGAATAGGGAAGTTTTTAATGTTTTGTGTTTTCTTATGTTTCTGTATATGCTGGAAACCACCCAGAGTGGCTGGGGGATGGGAGTGATACAAACATTACTACTACTACTACAGTGGTACCCCGGGTTAAGAACTTAATTTGTCCCAGAGGTCTGTTCTTAACCTGAAACTGTTCTTAACCTAAAGCACCACTTTAGCTAATGGGGCCTCCTGCTGCTGCCGCGCCGCCAGAGCACAATTTTTGTTCTCATCCTGAAGCAAAGTTCTTAACCCGAGGTACTATTTCTGGGTTAGCGGAGTCTGTAACCTGAAGCGTATGTAACCTGAAGCGTAGGTAACCCGAGGTACCACTGTACTACTACTACTACTACTATTAGCAGCAGCAGCAGCAGCAGCAGCAGCAGAAGCAGCATAATCATCATCAGCTACTTGGACATGGCCACCACCAATTCTTTGGAGCAGAATTCCACTGGCCATGCTACCTGAAGCTGATAGGAACTGCGGTCCACATCATTTGGAGAGTGCCATGTCCCTGGACTAAGCTGACCAACAGTGGTCCTCTGGGATTTCAGGAAATGCTCTCTCCCAGCCCTAACCTGGAGAAGCCATGAATTGAACCTGGCACCTTCCGAGTGCAAAATGTGCTCTACTGGTATAGCATCCTGCAGGCCAACAATACTCAAAGGACAACATCCCAATGATGTACCTGGGGGAGAACAAAGAATGCTGTCTGGGTTAATGGAAGCTTCGTACGGCGGAGGTGGGTCATCGGGGTGCTGGATATCTGGATATTTGTACGCTGTGTAGGGAGGAGGAGGGTCGTGGAAATGAAACGCCCCACCTTCCCCGTCATCGGAAAGGTGGAGCGGCGTGAGTCCAGTCCCAAAGCCATCGGGGCCGTAATCGAAACCGGGCATCCTGCGACCCAAGTTGAAGTGGTGCACTATTGAGGGAGAGGGGAGTTAGGAGAAAAACACACACAAACCAAAATACATTATTATTCCACCACTACCTCTCACCAAGTAGGTCATTCGTTCTGCAAAGGGTAAGCCTAACTTGAAACCCAAAAGCTCTGTAAACTGAAAGTGGAGACACTACTATATTTACTTTTCTGTTTGCTTGTTTTAAACACAAGGAAATAGTTAATAAAAACTAATTAAAGCAAGAAGCTTGGTGCTGTTAAGGATGAACAAAGCATCACAGGGAGTTACCATTGATGAACTGACATGAGAGACTCTGGGCCATATACATTGCTAGCCCTGACTCAGCGTAGTAGATCCGTTGAATCTAACTGATCTAAGCCATTTCCATTAAGTTTGATGGGCCTAACTCTGAGTAAGGCTGCAAGTTCAGCAATATCTAGAGGGCCAGAAGGCTTCCACACCTGCACTGGGTCAAAGAGAGACATGTTTTCAAAAAACAGCAGCTGAAAGCTGCACACAAGTGATTTATTATTATAATTATTAATTCAATTTCTTACCCACCCTTCACCATAAAGTCCAAGGATGAGTGACAATATGGTCACAAAAGTAGGCTGCGTCTAGCGTGCCTTCTCTAACTTTTGTGTTTTATCTTCAGATTTCTTACGGCAATAGTGGGAACCTCTGATATTGCTGGACTACTTACTAACACTGCCACGACACCCTAACTGGCCAGGGTTAAAAAGGCACATATTCAGCATATGACGGCAATGACTTAATGAAGGTGCCAGGCACACCCTTGCTGCAAAGGAGAGTTCCGCAACTCAGGGGCTTCCAGATCAAGCACAGCCGAGGGACTTACGGTTTGCTCCGATCAGAGACTCGATGCGCTCCCTGCGCCGCTGCCGTAGCCGATGGACCATGAAGAGGAGCAGGGACAAGATCAGGAAGGAGGAGATGCAGCTCACGATGAGGCGCATGCCGCTCGCCATGGAGTCGAACAAACTGTTGCCGTCTGCATGGAGGAATCAAAAGTAGAGATCCCATTACATTATGGCAAAAAATCAGTGGTGTGCGGTTCATTTCCAAACAAGCTCTTTTCCGGCCATTCAGCAGGAGGGACCAACCAAAAAAGAACTTCCTGGAAAACTGCGGAAGAGGAAGGGGAGATAAGAGCAAGAATGTGTCTAGATGTTTGGTGGTGGAGCTTCAGCCTCCGAGCCAAACGTGGCCTGCCGGGCCTTGACAATTGGTCCATGTGGCTGTTTTGCTGAAAGCTCACCCACCTGAGGTCGTATGTGCCATCTGATGTGGGGCAGGAAAGAGAGGGGGACGCAGAAAGCAGAACTGAGCTCCCCGCACAACTTTCTGCTGGACCATCCTCTATCCCAACAGGCAACCTCGCCATGTTGACAGGACAACCCCACCTGTCAATCACCTGATGACACAATGATGGGTGACTGTGGGGTGGGACCTGTAAAAATTGGCCTGCTGGGATGGGGGAACATGAAGATCTGGCCCGCTGAATCAAACAAGTTCTTCACACAATTCTTGGTAGCCTGGACCTGCAGGCTGCTTCTAATGGAGACTCCTCAAAATGGCATTAATCCTCTTCCAACAATATTTTTTCAGTGCCCCCATTATGCTTTTAAAGTACCTCTCAAATTTAGGGTGCAGATGCAGTACTGAGTCCTCTCCGCGCATTAGAAATCTGGGCAGGAGTGCTGTGATGCATGCTGGCTTTCCTAATGGAAGTTATGCTCTGGGGGAATCAAACCTCTTGACTTGAGAGCCAGTGGGGTGTAGTGGTTAAAGAGTGTCGGACTAGGACCTGGGAGAGCAGAGTTCCAATCCCCACTCAGCCATGAAACTCACTGGGTGACCTCGGTGTCAGGATATCAGCCATATCTCCTCTTCTCGGGAGAAACTGGCCACTCTCCAGGCACCCGGCATGATCTCCTGGTGACCTCCCTGTCTGCATTCCCGGCAGATGCAGGCAAGGTCTCGATCGGCGATCCTCCTCAAACGTGAGAAGAACACACCACTCTTCCCTGCCCTCCCCCAGGCAGGGGAAAGAGATAGACAGAAATGTATTTACATGCCTTTATTTCTGTCTTTCCAGCATTACAGAGAAACACGTCCTCTCTCATCAGAGTCCATCACAAGAGAGACAAAACTCCTCCTCCTGTACTTCCTGTACAGGTCACTCTGAGCTATTTCCGGTGCTTTGCACTGAAATAAGACTCTCCCTCTGTTCCCACGGAACAGTTCCAACATTCCCATTATGTTTTGATTTCAAGCCACCTGCTACTCGCGGTCGCATTGCATCCATATCGTAACACTCGGCCCCGTCACTGCCTCTCAGCCTAACCTACCTCACAGGGTTGCTGTATGGGGATTAAATGAGGAGCGAGAGGACCACGTACACATCACGGTTGGTGGGACATAAATGCTATGCGATAAGTAAGCCAAGAATAGAATCATAGAATCATAGAATCATAGAGTTGGAATAGACCACAAGGGCCATCGAGTCCAACCCCCTGCCAAGCAGGAAACACCATCAGAGCACTCCTGACATATGGTTGTCAAGCCTCTGCTTAAAGACCTCCAAAGAAGGAGACTCCACCACACTCCTTGGCAGCAAATTCCACTGTCGGACAGCTCTTACTGTCAGGAAGTTCTTCCTAATGTTTAGGTGGAATCTTCTTTCTTGTAGTTTGGATCCATTGCTCCATGTCCGCTTCTCTGGAGCAGCAGAAAACAGCCTTTCTCCCTCCTCTATGTGACATCCTTTTATATATTTGAACATGGCTATCATATCACCCCTTAACCTCCTCTTCTCCAGGCTAAACATGCCCAGCTCCCTTAGCCGTTCCTCATAAGGCATCGTTTCCAGGCCTTTGACCATTTTGGTTGCCCTCCTGTGGACACGTTCCAGTTTGTCAGTGTCCTTCTTGCAACTGTGGTGCCCAGAACTGGACACAGTACTCCAGGTGAGGTCTGACCAGAGCAGAATACAGTGGCACTATTACTTCCCTTGATCTAGATGCTATACTCCTATTGATGAGGCCCAGAATTGCATTGGCTTTTTTAGCTGCCGCGTCACACTGTTGGCTCAAATAGATGTAGCTTAAACGACTGTGATTCCTCAAAATTAATAATCCACGTGAGAAAACACTTTCCAATAACTGCATCAGCCGAGAAGCCCTCTGTTCTGAGAAATGCACTGTCAGCTAAAAACTACTTTCCTTTTCATATTGCTCCCACTGCAAAACAAAATTAGCTAGTCACTAATCTGTTTTCCAATACAAGCAAATCCACTTAGATACAAAGCATTTGGAAAGCAAAAATGCAAGAAGTGTTAAGATCCTAAGTTTGCAACAAGACAAGCGGGAACAATTGTGAAACCACCAGATGCCCATAAATTGGATTGGCATATGACCTGTTATTCTAGCATTACTGCTTCTTGTCATGAAACATACTGTAACCTGATTCAAGAGCCTCTCTTCTGAAGCTAACCAAGAAACAGGAAGAGCATGCCGTGCCTCATAACAAGGGGTGATGGAAAAATTAATTGAAAAGCTTAATATAAATGTTTTTGTTTCTAAATCCAACCAATTTACTAAAAGCAAACTCATTTTCTCAGTTTAGATCCTTATAAAGCCCAAACAGCACCACACATATGCAGCTGTTTTAGACGGGCCTTCACAATGTGAATTTCTCTTTTGAAACAAGCGGCACCTGATCTTTTATGTATGCTTTTAATTATGTTTTATAGATGCTTGCAGAATAGCTTTACTATATTTTCCATACTGTAAGCTGCCTCAATCTACTTTATTCAAGTGCAGATTAAAAATATTTAATTGAATAAATGACAGGGGTGATGTGCATCAGCAGTCTCCAGGGAACCACATTTGCAAAAGCACCAGGGTGGGGGGAGACTTCAGCATCCTCAGTGAGAATAGAATATTGGCCAATTGTTAACAGGAAACCAGGAGGAAGAGGGAATGAAATGGAGCACTCTGGGAAAGAGTGTGGCTGGCAGAAAAAGGAGTATAAACAGCAAACAACAGTTTCAGGTCTAGTTTCACTGGTCTAAGTCATCCCTACTGCCCGGTTATCACCCTACTGTTCAGACAGACAGCATCTGGGACTTTTCACAAACTGTAGGGGCAGGGGGGTTGCCCACAAAGAAAGTTTCAACTCAGGCAGGTGTGGGGGAACTTTTGGCCCTCCAGATGCTGTTGAACTCCAGCACCCCTGGCCATTGGGCCATGCTTGCTGGAGCTGATGACAGCTGCAGTTTGACAGCATCCGGAACAGCCAAAGACTCCCGCACACCTGAACTAAGCAATGAAAGAACCTGGCATCTGGTCCCCTCACAGACACAATAATGCAACAATGCATAATACTGCTCACTTTTCTGGCCACCTTGGCTGAAAAGTAACCTGCCACAAGCGTTAAGCATAAGGACAGGAACTTTAGAAATAGTTGAGAACACCCTGTCACGTGCGTTCCAAGAATCCAAATGTATTTCACAACAGTCAAGAGCCGATTCATTTCCCAGGCAATGCCAAACTGTAGAAGTCCAAATAGGTTCATGCCACCAGGGTTTGGGAGAGGGGCATCTCTCCAGTTTGGTCAAAAAAACTATTCCCTCTTTGGCTGAGGGAGGGGGGAAATAGGCAAGGAAATTTCAACCAACCAAGTGTTTCCGTCAATTTCAAGGTAACAAAACCAAACAGCAGCAGCACCATCTGCTGGCTACTTGCGGGACTGGCGGGCATTTCAAGTAATGATGGCATCACATATAACAGAAAAGTGAACAGTGGGTGGTGGTAGTGGTGGTTTTTGCAATGCATGAGAGGTACCCACACCTGGATGCCCAAGGTAAATATGTTTCCACCACACCTCCCTGGCTTAACCCAATTCAGCAGGCTCCTTAGAACATTTGCGACCTTCCAGTGATGCAAATATCATTCCGTTTCCTTAACAGAAACAAGGTCGACTCAGACTGGTCCAAGTCCTTGGTTATAATGCAGAAGCTCTTAAACAAAGAGTAGGAAACTAGATCCGACTGGTGACTGAGATCCTTAGCTTTTCATATCCCTCACTGGGCCAAACAAATTTGCCTGCCTGCCTGCCAGTCACCTGACAGCACAATCATGTCAGGTGACCGCATGAAATCAAAATGTGCAGCCAAAAGAATAACATTGTGCAAGCTCTGCTGATCAGCTGATTGCCAGGACTTGCAAAATGCTGTACGGTGACTTTTGCAGGTGCAGCCAATCCGCTGACTGGCGGTGCCTGCAAATGCCCTTTTGGCCCAATCACCTTTCTACCTGCCCACACCCAGCAGAGCAGTGCAGGTGGGCATGGCTTGGCCAAAATGGCCTGGTGGGCCAAAGAAGGGAGGTTGGAGGACCTAGTGAGGCCTGCAAGCTGAAGGCTCCCCAACTTGGTCTTAAAACTACAAGGCTGATCTGCCAGGGATGGGAGGGCATCACAATGTTTGTGGGCAAACCAAGATCCTGAGGCAGCAGGAGCTTTTCATCCACCAGAACTAGGGTCAATGGAACAAAACATCTCATTGACAGGGAATCCTGGCTGATCCACTTGGATTTCGTTATGCTGTTATTATGATCATCGGCTAGATGCAATTTTAAGACGAAGTCAAGTATCCCCATCACTCCCTCTCTTGTAGCAACTCGCAAGAGGTGAGTGGCAACAGGATTGCAGCCAGAACAGAGCAACCAAGAAATAAGAGGGAGGGATCAGCATGCCTGGAGACCACTGAAGCACACATGTTCACTAGCCGCAGAATGTTGGGTATCATTTAGAAGATGAAATGGGGAAGAGGTGGATTGGGAAACACGAGCTTCTTACAGCTGATGATATCCTGAAGGACTGCATGGCTGGCAGGCAGGTACCTCAAACTGGAGCACTCCTTCCCAATTGGCGAGGCTACACTGCAACATTTTGTTGCAGAACTGGCCTCTCCTCCCTGCCCACTTTCCAATACAGTGGTGCCTCGCAAGACGAAATTAATTCGTTCCACGAGTTTTTTCGTCTTGCGGTTTTTTTTTCGTCTTGCGAAGCACGGTTTCGGAAAAGCTTCAAAAATCACCAAAGTCTTCAAAAACCTCAAAAAAGGCTACCACACCGCATGCTATGAGTTGCTCCTCGAAGTCAAGTCACAACTGTATTAACGGTTTTAAGAAAAAGGAAACAAACTTGCAAGACGTTTCCGTCTTGCGAAGCAAGCCCCTAGGGAAAATCGTCTTGCGAAGCAACTCAAAAAACCAAAAACCCTTTCGTTTTGCGAGTTTTCCGTCTTGCGAGGCATTCGTCTTGCGAGGTACCACTGTATCAATGTTGGGCAGGTACCCTAATTCACAAATACATGCAAGGCAGTGCTGAATGCCCCTTATGCAAGGGGACAGCTAACGATTGTATTTCTGGTCCTGGCTCCTAGTCAGACCACAGCTTTTCAGACTTGATGCAAGGGGAAACTGCGATTTGATAAACCACAGAAGATTCAAGTTACAGTGGGCAAGGGAAGGGAGAAGGGGAGGAGGAATGAAGCGGCAAGGTTAAATCAAGGCTTGAAGAGCTCACTTGTTGCATTTGAACAGAGGCAATCTGAAATTTGCAGCAGAGCTGGAAGAAGCACGCATAGCTACTAACACATTAAGGGTCTTTTTCTACCCCAATGCTTATCCATTTAGAAAAAAATTATTCCAGGTAGGAACATAAGAAGAGCCTGCTGGAAGCCCCAAAAGGAAGCATATAGGGAAGGTGCAAGGGCAGCAGCCCTCTCCACTCTTGCTGTTCCCAAAAGCTGGCAATCGGACTGTCTCTGTCTGTGGAGGTAGCAACTTATCTTTGTTCCAGAAATCAAACCACAGGACAATGTTTGTTTCATGCCTGATGCTTCTCTTTATCCCAGGTACCTGGGAGAGGCCTCTGACACGAGTGCCAGAGAGTCCTCAGAACATGGTACAAAGCGTATATCTATAAAGGAATCGTTGTGCACAAATACAGAGGCCAACTTCCTTCAAAGATAGTGGAATATTACAAAAAGCTCAAAGCAGTATTTCAACACGTTACTGAAATAGCTGCTCAACCCTTTAGATTCAGCTTACGTAGCAGGTGTTTTGTTTTACTGACACAGTCCAAGGGTCCACAAGTTAGAACATTTTTGCACAACTTTCATTGGCACCCAGAGCCAATGATACATATGGTGGCAGCCACAATAATATAAAGTATATTTGATCCCCAATCTTCCAGCCATGACCAAAGGTTCCATTGATCCCTCTCATGCAGCTTGGCCATCTTTTTATTATTATTATCTCTGCCTGATAAGTTGTTTTATCAGTGTCACCAGGGATGTAGATACGACATTCAGCTCCTGCCAGAGCACATGCTTCTCCCTGACCGGCAAGCAAAACATCCAGACCATTCTATTTTGCAATATTGCCTGTCTTATATTAGGCGATTCCATAGCAGTGTCTTCCAGTGCTTGAACGGCACTATTTGCAAACTTTCCATCACAGCATTCATGTTTTAAAATTTGCTTTAGAAACAACTGCCACACCAAACGGAGGTACGGTTATGTCCCAAGACCTTTGGGACTCTGAAAGTTCTCTGGCGTTCCTAATTTTACCAGAAGGGGACTGGGATATACTGTATTTTTCCATGTATAAGATTATATCCCCCCCCCCCATTTTTTTAAATTGGAGGTCGACTTATACACAGAATGTTGCAATTATTTATTTCTTAATTTTGGGCTCAAAAAAACAGGGGTCATCTTATACATGGGAGCGTCTTATACACAGAAAAATACGGCAATTCTAACAGCAGGAGCAACTGTTCTTGTGTAGCAAGGACCATGTGAATTAGGTGGGAGTTTTACCAGCACATTTCCCACAGATAAAATACTGATCCATGAGAGCTAGAACAAAGTGAACATAGCAGGAGCTCTACCTTCTCCACATAATTTTTGAGAGATTCCTTAGAGACAGTCCATTCCTTGTTAACTTTCTGAAAGGTATTTCCTCTAACTCTCCCTGTTAATTTAGCAATAAGCATTCAATCATTTTAGCTAGCCAGTCTGTTTTGGTGGGGACATTATTACTTTCCCAGTTCTTGGAATCTTTGTTTTTATGGTGTACGTTGGATATACGATTGTAAAACTTCAATCTGAAAAACCAAATAAATAAACTTTTTTAAAAAGCAGCAGCTCTTACCAGGATCTAAACAAGTAAACTTGCAGCACTCCTTGGGGTCCTTCCGATACTGCTGGCAGCCCTGAGGCCGCTCACATAGGGCCGCCACGCACATCTCTGGCTCGCCATTGTGGCACGTGCAACTCAGACAGGGGTCATCTCCTTTCGGGGTGAAATAGTAGCCTTCATCGACAATGTTGTCTTTTATATCTACACAGGTTTGGCCTGAAACAGGAGAGGCGCACACACGTTAGCTCCCACCTTCCCTCACTGATGGACAGTAAGATGCACCTCACTTTCCTGGACAGAGCAGTGTGGGTCTGCGCAGAAGCTAGCCTACTGTATTACGTTTGCATGCCTTCTTCAGCTAATTTTTGCCTTGGGCCCTGCCCACAACTGGAACATCCCCTCCACCAACCCCACCGGAAGGCTGCCCAGGAAGAAATACTGGGCTGAAAAAGGTTGCCCGCCCTGACAAAAATCTTTAAAAGCAAAGAAACAGGTGTGAAGCTTTTAATACCAATCAGGGTACATAAAAATCAATGGTGTTTTTAAAAAACATACAAAAAATCTTTTTTTATTTAAATCTGATTTTTATTATTTAAATTGAATTTTTAATATAAAATGCTTTTGGAGGAAAAATCTTTCTAAAGATACATTTTCTATTTAAGTTACACTATAGGCTATTCATTAGGAAATAAGAATTTGTTTCAAGTTTTTCATGTGTGCTAAAGCTCAGCCTTTTTTTAAAAAAAACCTGTTTAACCACATCAGTTAACAAACATGGATACGTGTGCTATAATGTTATTGTTTTAGTTAAATAAATTGTTCTCAATGTTATTATGGAAATGTTTACTTTTCTCTTTCCAATAAAGGTACAGCAGAAAAGTTGTCTAATTATAAACAGTTAACTTATTAAACCTCACAATAATTTCATAATTATCTGTCTATGTATTTCGAATAGTATAAACAAATCAGTGGTTTTTGATATAACCGTAAAAACTACTCTGAAAATTTATTATTCCAAAAGTGAAACCTTCATCTTGTTGTAAATATTAAGAGTATACCAGCAAGAATGAAACCAGAGGCCTTCCTCTTGGGTATTGTCGACCAGAAGGTGTTAAAAAAAGACAGAACCTTTTTTATGTATGCAACAACAGCAGCAAGAATATTGATTGCAAAACATTGGAAGACACAAGATTTGCCCACACTGGAAGAATGGCAAACGCATCTGATAGACTACATGGAGCTGGCCGAGATGACTGGCAGAATTCGAGACCTGGGAAAAGAGGAGGTGGAAGAGGACTGGAAGAAGTTTAAAGACTATTTACAAAAATTATATAAATTGTATGAATGTTAAGAAGGTGCATGAAAGGAAAGATTATGGCAACAGCAGCTTAGATGAGATATGTATGAGAATAAGTATAAAGATAAGTTTTGATGAGATTTGAAGTAAAGTTATGCCTAAATTAAGTAGATAAATATTTGATGGAATTAGTTAAAACCAGAGGCATAACATATTAGAATTAGAATATAAGATCTGAAAGAAGGTAATAAATTGCTGAACATAACTTTTATATTGAGAATGCAGGAAAGGGAAACGTGAGGAAGTGCTATGGAACATATGCATGAGAAACTGAGTTCTTATTCTTTTCTTTTCTTTTTTATATATAGTTGAAAGTTATGTCTTTTATATTTGATATATGCTTGGTTAATTTCTTTTTTCTGAAAACTTAATAAAATATTATTTAAAAAAAAAAGAGTATACCAGCAAGAATGAGTCCCTCTGTAAAAAAATCAAGTCTTACTGACTAGTGATTTAAAATCAATTTGATTTAAGTAAAATCCACCCGGATACCAATTGCTTTTCCAAGCACTTCAGCCGCAGCCTTTTGTAAAGTAGGGGAAATGCAGTTCTCGCCCCTGCCGTTGCAACTACCACAACAGCTCCTACCATGCCAAATGCCATTGCAGAGCAGTGGTAAGAAATACAGCTGTGGTCCAAAGAGCAGGGAGACCTGATCCTGGTCCGTACCACAAGACAGTTCGCTCGGTGGCCTCAGCCACTCTGTCCCCAGCTGCAGTGCAAGTGAGCATCCCTGCGGCTCTTTTGAGTATGTAACTGTTCCTGCGTGCTTATAAGAGCTTGTGTGTAACCCAGAACAGATGACTCACTCCTTTTGCAGAGGAATGAAGACTTCTCATAGCAGTTTTCAGCATACCAGCTGTGAAAACCGCGGTGCCGCAGGGTCGGGAAGTGGGAACATTGGAACTGGGCGCAAAGGATGTTTTCGTTTTCCGACACGGACGTACTGAAGGTAGGGTTAGGGGGCAAAAATACTTCCGATGAACCTGAAATGACAAAATGCATCATAACTAGAAGAAAGTTGTTGCTGCAGAGCCTGTGGACAAATTCGGCTTTGCTGCCTCTTAGAACATTTTAAAGGAGAAAGTCATTCATGCGATGTACCAATGTTTTACTCTGTATGCTTGGGTAGCTTGTTACATTATAGGTTTTATCGATGTCGGAAGGCTAATTTCAGGCTATTGTAGCTTTATTTCTATTCCAAAGAAATTCAGGGGGCTAATGTTAAAAAAGGTGTTGCAAACATTGACTTTATTCTCAGAAGCGTACAAAACCTGGCTCCTGCACATAAAGTCCTTGCTCTTTAAATTCAAACAGCATACACCTTTTTAAAAAAATTGCATTTCTTTCCAAAGAAGGCCAAAGCAGGTTAAGGAAAGTATAAATCCAGTGGATTAGCACACAAAGAGGGACATATAAAGAGGTACCTCGGTTTAAGAACAGCCCTGTTTACGAACGATTCAGTTTACAAACGCCACAAAACCTGAAATAGTGTCCCGGTTTGGGAACTTTACCTCAGTCTAAGAACAGAATCCGAACGGCAGAAGGGCACCAGCAGCGGGAGGCCTCATTAGGGAAGGCGCACCTCGGATTAAGAACGGTTTCGGTTTAAGAACCGACTTCCAGAATGGATTAAGTTTGTAAACCGAGGTACCACTGTATATGCACCCTTGTGATATTCCACTGGTTAGTGGAGTCAGTTTCATTCTAGCAGACTTTTGCCTTGCAGGGCAGTTAATGGTTTTCTTAAAAAAATGGCATTTTATTTCCTGTATCCATCTCTGCTGTATTTGTATCAAGCATTGTTTAAGGATGATATTGTGTTTTCAAAACTGTCAGAAGGCACCCCAAGTAACACTTAAATGGGAACGCAGAAACTCTTGCATAAATAAAATAAGCTGGCTGAATACTGTGCAACCTCCAAGACTTCGTTTACAAAGCTGGAATACAGGAAAGGGAACCTTTAAAGAAGGATATACACTGATACAGAATAATAGAATTGTAGTTGGAAAGGACCCCAAGTGTCAACTAGTCCAACCCCCCCACCAAAATGCAGGAACCACAGCTAAAGAATCCCTGACAGATGGTTGTCTGTCACCTCCTAAGGGAGTCCATCCACTGTCAAACAGCTCTTCCCATCAGAAAAGTATTCCTAATGTTTAGTGAGAATCTCCTTTCCTGTAGTTTGAATCCACTGGTTTGGATTCCTAAACGCCGAAACTTCTGACCAGTAGAAGCTTTGATTTGTCATGTGTTAGGACAGGTGAGCATTTTCTTTCACGCAAAATAATTTCCTCATTCAAACGTGCCACATAATTGTCAACTGCTGAGCAATCCCTTTTGCTTTTTGCTCCTTTTATCAATTAGCATTTAAACAACCAATCAAAAGCCAATTGCTTTCAGCAGCTCTGCCGCCAGATGGCAGTATTATTGCTAGCTCTGGGAGGAAAGCAGGATTGCCCAAAAGAACATTATGCCAGCCTTTGAGTTAAACAAAGGCATTAAACACTTGATCAGATTTCCTTATCACTGTCTTGACACTTAGACCACAACCACACTAAAATACAAAGTTGTATTAAAGGTAAAGGGACCCCTGACCATTAGGTCCAGTTGTGACCGACCAGAGTTGTGGCACTCATCTTGCTTTATTGGCCGAGGGAGCCAGCATCCAGCTTCCGGGTCATGTGGCCAGCATGACTAAGCCGCTTCTGACGAACCAGAGCAGCGCATGAAAACACCGTTTACCTTCCCGCCGGAGCGGTACCTATTTATCTACTTGCACTTTGACGTGCTTTCGAACTGCTAGGTTGGCAGGAGCAGGGACCGAGCAACAGGAGCTCACCCAGTCGCAGGGATTCAAACCGCGGACCTTCTGATCGGCAAGTCCTAGGCTCTGTGGTTTAATCCATAAATCCAAAGAGACTGGCCAAAATAATAATTTCTTGAGGTTAGGTTTGGAGAGGAGGACTGGGTGGTGCAGAAAGGCACTCAATAACTGTGAAAACTTCTGTAAGATGTGCTTAGCAGCAAAAATCCACCTGGCACTCAATAACTTTACAAGACCATGTAAAGACTTAGCTGTTTCTATGGGCCTATTGTTAGAGGGAGAGGGTATTGTTGTGCTACTAGTGTGTTGCCCAAACTTCCTATGGCTATTATGGGGATTGTTGTTTTGGATAGTGTAATTATTTATATTAAATGTGTTCTAAGTCATTTGGAGACCTTTGGGCAACGAGCAACTAACAAGCCATCATTAATAACCTTAACAACAGCAGCAATAACAACGGCAACACAAATACATGCTTTAGATGGCATCAATTCTTAGCCAAGTGACACAAGAGATCATCTCTCATTTTTTGGGTCTTACCTTTGTAAGCAACCTCCCAGTGACCTTCCAGAGAATGATTTCGGTTTGTGATGACATACTGGTATCCGACCCAGAACCTACAATCAGAAATGCGTAAGCTTTGTAAACTCGAGGGAGGAAAAATCAAATTATGCAAAAAAGCAAAATCCTAAAAGGTAAGTTGAAAAGCTCCTAAGCATGGTTAATAAGCTCTTCTCTTTCCTGAGGTTTCCTACTTAGACAAGCTGAAAGCTGACCGTCGCTAACCTAACAATCCTTGCAAAGGCTAGGGAACACCAAAGCCATGCTAATGTTGCTGTGAATCTCAGTTAAACCTTCAAATCCAGTATTTTGCAATGCAATCTCTTCAGATAATATCCATCACATGGACTGGGAAGAGTGACTAAGGCCCCATTAGTGTTATGCATTTAAAGCAGTTATCACATCACTTATAACAGTCATGGCTTCCCCCAAAGAATCCTGGCGATTGTAGTTTGTCCAGCCCCCTGCCATTCCCGCCCCCCACATTAACTCCCTAGAGCTTCCCCTTCCATGAAACTACTCAGCTCATTTTCCACCTTCCCAACCCTCCTCCTTCACAAAAATCCAGGATTGTGATTTGGTGCTACAAATCCTGCAATACAGCCTGCGTGATGACAGCCTTACATTTTTATGTATATAGGAAGATCAAATATATATTGCGCAAACACACACACACGTTTGTTTGTTTTAAAGAATGCATTTAATTTAAATGGTACATCCATCCAATCCCCCACCCCCGGTCAATGAACATCTAGATTTCTCGATACCTGCATTAAGGCATGGATTCCATACTAGTTTGGATCTTCACATAGCATAATGTAATGTAACATGTCCTATATTTATCCTTAACATATCCACCCATCACTCACCTACTCTGGTCTTTCCTCCCAAAGGCTTTATCTTGCGAGTCCCACTCCTGCTGCAAGATAAACTTGAGCTCCTGGTCAGTTGTAAAAGTGGCCAGGGATCCATTCACCCTCTGACAGGTCTGGACGGCGTCCCAGTAGTTCTCGCCACTTAAGTATACTCTGTAGCAGCTAGCCGTGCCCTCGTAGTGATGCCATTCTGACGGGCATTTCCCTAGGAAACATAAAGGAGAGAAGGGAAACAATCCCCCCCAGTTAGGATCTCAACCTGATTCATCACTTCTGAAAACATTAGCATCAGCCCAGTCCTCACTGGGTGGAAAACCCACATGCCTAGGCAGGGCAGACTTCAGGCAGGGGCTCAGGTGGTTAACAATCTCTCCATACACAATTTTTCTCATGCAACTGATGTGTCTCCTGCCTTTGCACAGAACACAGGAATCCAGCCACAAAAAAATTAGAGGCTTCAAGAAAGAAACACCCACATCTCCCCATGCAGGCAAGAAAGAAACATCGTGACAGTTCAAGAATACAACCCAGCCAGGGCATATGCCTGATTATCGTCTTCCAGAGCAACTACTCTACTCCCAACTTAAAAATGGAAAGCGTAATGTCGGTGGTCAACAAAAGAGGTCTAAAGACTCTCTCAAGGCAGATCTAATAAAATGTAGAACAAACACCAACAACTGGAAAACACTGGCCTGAGAATGCTCCAATTGGAGAGAACTTTTACCAAAGGTGTCACGGGTTTTGAAGACACTCGAACTCAGGACAAAAGGGAGAAATGTGCTAAGAGGAAGGCATGCGTGGCAAACCCTCACTATGATTAACTCCCACCCGGAAACCAATGTCCCCACTGTGGAAGGACGTGTGGATCCAGAATTGGCCTGCACAGTCACTTACAGACTCACTGTTAAGACCATGTTCATGGAAGACAATCTTACTCGGCTACGAGTAATCACCAAAGAGTACAGAGGTGTTATGGCCTGGGGAGAATCCCAAAAGCCAGAAAGAGCTGCCTGGCCCGAGGTTCCCCATTCCTGTGTTATACTTTATTCTAAATGTTCAGAGGATCTGATCACAAAAACAGCTCAGACTAAATCGCTAAGGGACATTAGGGAGCTTTAATAAAAGATACTTTGCGCACACAAGGAAGCACTTTTAAGAAGCATGTGCCTGGACCTGCAGCCGGCAACCTAGGGGGAATTTCAACCCTGCTTCCAAGTCTGCAACTTACTGCTGAACCGCACTGGCTGTGCCACATTGACGGTGTGGAAGCGGGTCGTGTCCCCTCCTCTTCCGCGATTGTGCCTGGAATCCGCATTATCCTTCCCATGGTAAGTGCGCTGGTCCCCAGTAAAATCTAAAAGTGAGACATGGCCCATTCTTAGTGACACTGTATGAGAACCATTAGCTTTTTTTTTTCTTCATTCAGCTGTTGAAAGGAAAATATCGTCATAAATCCTTCCCAACATTCAAATGGGCAAAGACAGCTCCAAGTGGGCACAGGCAAATAGAATATTCTTAGGCTACAGAGAACAGACCAATATTTCCCAAAAGAAAGCAGAAAAGAGTGTTAGGGCAGGTGTGGGGAACCCGTAACCCTCTGTTGTCCTCCCAACAACCTTGCCACGACACAGATTGGCTACCTCATAATTTAGGCTACTGCAATGTACTTACTATGCATGAGGATATCCTTGTGCCTGGTTCAGAAGCTGCAGCTAGTGCAAAACACAGCTTTGTGGGACACACAGGTTTACACGTGTTGAAAGATTTGTGCTGGTTCTCTATTAGCTACCAGGCAAAATTCGAGGTTTTGTTGTCGTCATTAAAGCTCTAACAATTGGGACCTAGATACCCAAGCAGACTGCTGGTACAAATCGAATCAGTTTTAGGACCTCCCCAAAATACCCTGATGGTCATTAAATGACCAGAGAATTGTCAGTTGATGCAGTTATAGAAGCTAAGCCCCAAATGGCACCTTAAATCTTGGTTACGGTTGCCACAGCATAATGTCTATTCGCCAAAGGGTTGGGCTAGGTGACTCTTTACATCCCTTCCAGTGCTACAATTCTACAATTCTATTATCTCAACAACACTGCTCGACCATAGCTTGCTCTTACAACAATTGACTTCTCCCAGTGTGCAAAGAGAAACATGCAGAGTGGAAATGGAAATGGTATTAATTAAGGCAGAGGTATTTGAGCCGTGGTTGCCAACCTGGTACCCAGTAATCTCCACTGCAACGTGCTCTCTCAAGTAGTTCATGGGGCAGAGACACAGATGACCTTTCAAACCTTCATTAATGCGGGTCATGGACCATAACAATAAAGATCTGATCTTGCTGCCATTTGCTACCAGACTCTGCCAACCTAAAAGGCGTAGTCACACCCACTTGCAAGCAAATTAGCACAGACACACGCATGATGAATTGAAAACGACGTAGGGTTGTACCCAGTTAATGATACTGACGGACGCAGGTGCAGGGACACGGGTGGTGCTGTGGTCTAAACCAACGAGACTCGGGCTTGCCAGTGGTAAGGTTGGCAGTTCGAATCCACACAACGAGGTGAGCTCTTGTTGCTCTGTCCCAGCTCCTACCAAACTAGCAGTTCGAAAGCATACCGGTGCGAGCGAATAGGTACTGCTGCAGCGGGAAGGTAAACAGTGTTTCCATGCGCTCTGGCTTTTATCACAGTGTCCCGTTGTGCCAGAAGCAGTTTAGTCATGCTGGCCACATGACCTGGAAAAGCTGTCTGTGGACAAACACCGGCTCCCATGACCTGAAAGCAAGATGAGCATCGCACCCCAAAGTCCAATTTGACTGGACCTAGCCGTCCAGAGGTCCTTAACCTTTACCATACTCAAAACAGACCCACTGAAAGTAGCAGAGCTCACCAACCTAGGTCCACTTCAGTGGCTCTACTCAAATTTAGTAGGATGCAATCCCTGTTTCTTTGAGCACAAAAGCCTCCCAGGATTAACAGTTCAAAGAATCAACTGTAGTGTTGGAAGGGACAATGAGGGTCATCTAGTCAAACCCTCTGCGATAACAGAAATCTTTTGTGGAATGTCAGGCTCCAGTCCCATGCTCTACTGACTGAGCCATCCCTAACAATTATTCAGTGTGTGTCCCCCCCAAAATGGAAAGCATTAAGAAACAGGGTGGTTAAAACATGGTTGTGCAGAGCTGTTTACATTCACTGTGTGGAATTACAACTCTGCTGTTCTCCTCTGAAAGTTCTTTGTCCAGGAGGGAAAAAGGGATCACACTTCAAAGAGTTCATGGAACAGTCAGCAAAAGCTGGAATCACAGCTCTTTGACCTCTTGCATGGACGCAAAATCTGCAAATGTTTTGTCAGCAATACAACACATTCACTCACTTGGTGCACGGCCAGCTTACTTGCCCTTTGCCCCCTACAGCAGAAAAGAAATTGATAATAGGGCTGTCAGAAAAATGTGAAATTGCAAAAGAAGGGGTCATGGAGGGGAGCTTAAGACTGCCAGGAAAGTGAAAGACAACTCATCTATCTCTGCTTAAGTTTCCACGGAGAGACAACATCTTAAAGAGCTTCACTGGAGACCCAGTTCAGTGTCCCTGCCTTCTGAAACAAAGCGAGTGGCTGCCAGGGAGAGGACTTTCTCACTAGGAAAGAGCCAAAGGGCCTTAAAACATTTACTGAAAACTACACAGTACACAGTAACTGCACAAGATTGTATTGTTTTTATTTGTATTAGGGCAGGGGTCGACAAATTTTTTTAGCCGCAGGCTGGTCCATTGTCCCTCAGACCTTGTGGTGAGCAGGAGAAGCGGCACCGGGGGGGGGGAGCTGGAAGAGGTGAAGGGAGCAAGTAGTCGTCCTCCCCAACCCCCAGCCCCTGCGCTTACCTTCCTAGGGGCTGCTACTGCTGCCGCCGTCACCGCTGCTGCTTCTTGTGGGTAGGCAGAGCAATCTCGTCCAATCCGCTCTCTGGCCCACAGGTGCACCAGGGGTAGCAGCAGAGGGAAGATGAGCAGCACAAACGGGCTGGCTTCGGAGAGGGGCTGCTTAAAATGGCGCTCAGACAGCTCAGCCCAGCCCAGCCCCCTTCCTGCTCTAGGCAGGGCAGGGAGAAGCCAGGAGGAGGGAGGGAGGAGGCGCCGCCGCAATGTGTGTGAGGGAGAAGGAGGGAATGGAATGGGCCGGGGGGGGATGGCGCAGCCCGAACAAACAGAATCCCCACGCCGATCCACAGACGGTCCACGGCCCAGATCCTGAAGGCAATTGGGCCTGATCCAGCCCGCGAGCCTTGGTTTGCCGACCCCTGTATTAGTGCTATAACATTTCCATCGTGGTACAGTGGTGCCTCGCAAGACGAAAAGAATCCGTTCCGCGATTCTCTTCGTCTAGCGGTTTTTTCGTCTTGCGAAGCAACCCCATTGACAGATTAGCGGATTAGCGCTACAGCTGTCTAGCGGCTTTTCGCGATCAGCTGTTAAGCGGGTTATCAGCGGAACAGCTGATAGGCGGCTTAGCAGCTTAGGGAAAGGGGGGGAGCGGAAAAAACCCGCGGGGATGCGCAAGATTTTTTCGTCTTGCGAAGCAACCCCATAGGGAAATTCATTTTGCGAAGCACCTCCGCGACGGAAAACCCTTTCGTCTAGCGGGTTTTCCGTCTTGCGAGGCGTTCGTCTTGCGGGGCACCACTGTACTACTTTTAAACAAACAAACAAACAAACAACCATTAAGCCTCTGCAAAGTATTCAGAGCTACCAAGACTGAATGTCTGGGGGGGGGGGGGAGCATTTGATTTGCCACCAAGTAAATAAATCAGGGGAGGAAGAAAGAATTGCCATTTACTGTGATCATAAAGTTGGATAAGAAACTTAAAGAGCCACAGCAATGAGACACAGTGCTCTAGGTGTTGGGACACTGATACTATTGCTGCTTGAACTGGTAAAATCTGCCAGTTTTCAAACAAGACCCAGCGGGACATTATTTCATGTGACTAAGACTTAGAGCAAAAGAAAAGGAGCTGTGAATACATGCTATACAAATCCTCCCAGTAATTTCGAGCACACAGGCAAGTTAGCGGCAGCCAGTGACTTCATCCCCTTTTTGAGCAAAAGATCAAAGATACAAAACTGCTGAGCTACAGATGCTCCTAGTTATTTGGGTTTGATGTTAAGAAAAAGAAAATGTTTTGAGTGTCGGGGGCTTAAAGTTAAGCTGGATTTTAACAGAATTTGGATGTTAAAAATAAAATTCGTACAGTGAGCAAAAGGAGTCTCTTTTTTTGCCGGCGGGGGCCTGACAGTGATATAAAGCTGGCAAATAATGAGTATGCAGTCAGAACGCCTTAACCGTTCTGTCTGCTGCTCACATGCCATGTGGGTTATGGAATGGAGGAAGTAATGCATGGGTAGGCAAACTAAAGCCCGGGGGCCGGATGCGGCCCAATCGCCTTCTCAATCCAGCCTGCAGACAGTCCAGGAATCAGCGTATTTTTACATGAGTAGAATGTGTCCTTTTATTTAAAATACATCTCTGGGTTATTTGTGGGGCATAGGAATTCGTTCATTACTTTTTTTCAAAATATAGTCTGGCCCCCCACAAGGTCTGAGGGACAGTGGACTGGCCCCCTGCTGAAAAAGTTTGCTGACCCCGAAGTAATGACTCCCACCAAGACACATTTAAGACCCCCCCCCAATTTGTGGAAATGGAATGGGTTTAACTGTCTTGATATTTTTGATCCCTAAGGTACAGACATTATGGCTCTACAGCCCCTTAAGATTGCATACCTGACATCTAGGGTTAGAAACTCAAATATATAAGCTAGGCACCAAACTCTCAGCTTCTCTACCCAATGCAAGCTGCCTTCCTACCATCACATAACAGAATCTCCCTATTCCTGGCCTGCTGTGCTCAGATTCGCTTATGTAGGCATAGACATGGCAGAGTTGTTTTAAATCAAAATGCCTAGAAACAGCTGTTATGCTACAAATTAGGACTGTCAAGACAAGCAGAGCTCTCCATCTGTACTGAACACAAATGGCGAAGACAGGAAAATAGCTGGCAACTGTCCGCAGATGATAAAAAAAGTATGTCTCTTATGTAATCTTGCCAGGCACTTTGAGTATACTGAACTGCACGCTGCATATTCTCTCTCTTCCAAGGATTCTGAATTTCCAACTTCAGTAGAAGCCAGCTTCAAAAAATAATGATGCATCTACACATGTTAAGAGACTTTACACTTGATATTAAACACGACTCATCCAAAGGTGTTTCTGTGTGAAATCTGAAAAGCATGCCATTCAAAAATGAGTTATGACTCCAGCTTTTTCAGAAGTGTACAGACTAACTGGATAGAAAGCCTCCATAAAAGAGCACCAATGTGTTCAGGTAGACCCTGAAATACAGCCTACAAATAGCAATAAAGGGGGAAATTAAACTACAGCCTCTGAGAAGAAATGAAGTTGCAATAGGAATTCTCAGACAAAATTTCCTAACCAGAATTTGCTTGCAAATATGTAGTAAGTGCCATAAAGCTTTCCTGATGGTGTGGTACTTTACTACTACTACTACTACTATTATTATTATTATTATTATTATTATTATTATTATTACCTACCTTTCACCCTAAAACACAGTACTAGATTAAAACAGCTTACAGTCACAAAGTGAGTCCTAAAAATATACGCCCAGAGTGTCAGAAGCCAGGGTAAAGAGGTGCATATTCAGCATTCACCAAAGGCTCTATAGTGAAGATGCCAGGCACACCTCTGTGGAGAGTCACAGCTCAGAGGCCGCAACAGAGAACTGGCCTCTCCTGGGCCACCACCCAATGAACCTCTGAGGACAGAGGAACTGCCAAGGGGGCCTCTTTCTGCTGAACTCAGCAGCCAAGAGGATCTGTAGCGAAGGAGGCAAGTCTTTCAGCTATTTGGGGCCTGAGTCATTTGGGGCTTTAAACACTAACGGAAGCACCCTAAATTGGCCCAGAAAAGAACTGGCAACCAGTGCAGCTGTTTTACAGCAGGGGTTATATGAGATCTAAACGAAACCCCAGCCTGTAACCTGGCTGCTGCATTTTGGAGCAATTGAAGTTCTCAAGTCATCTTTAAGGGCTGCCCCACATACAAGCAATCATTGAAAGCTGGTGAATTAGGGCAGTGCCCCAACCTTGGGCCTCCAGCTGTTTTTGGACTACAACTCCCATCATCCCTCGCTAGCAAGACCAGTGGTCAAGGATGATGGGAATTGTAGTCCAAAAACAGCTGGAGGCCCAAGGTTGGGGAACACTGAATTAGGGCACTGCCCCACCAACCAGAGCCTGTCCTCAGCCATCAAGCTTCTTACTCATTCCCATCATATTTATTATGTATTCAATGTATAAGATACCTGACCCTGGCTCTGGCTCCCCTTACTGTTGGGTCTCCCTACCTCCCCCACCCCCAACCAGTACTAATGATAATCAACCATCGCTGCATATAATTCGTTCTTCTTCTTTTTTAGCTGCACTTACTTGGGCAGTCAACTTCATCACTCTCATCCTCACAGGTGGGCCATCCATCACACTGCCAGTTCAATGGGATGCACTGGATGGAGCCACTGCGACAAGCGAATTGCCCTGGGATGCAGCGCAGTTCTGCAAAACACAAGGAGAAGGGAGCTGAAGGTTTCAGGCAAAAACAACTGCTCTACTAGATCTACAATAGATCTACTAGGAAACTTCAGGCTAATTATCCCTACTGTACAAGTACAAAAAGTTTAACCCCTTACAACTGTTTATGAGTTTCCTAGAGTGAAAATGGTGATCAAGACTTGATATACAATGACCAGAAGGAAGTTTTACCAGGTGGTGGTTGTTTTTAATATAGCTGAAAAGCAGGCATGACTTCACTGAAATAAAGACATACTCTGGAGACCTAGGGCTGATGTGCACCATGGTCTGTTTTGCACATAACACTAAGCCAGGGTTTAATGGCTTAGTGTTATGTCTAAACCCAGCAATTTATAAACTATGATAGTTCACTCATTGACCAAGGTGTACAGCTTGTTTATAAACCTTACTGTTAACCATAAGCTTAGTGGTACATATAAATCCGGACCTCCTCCTCAACTATAGCTGGGTTGTAGCTCACTTCAATAAAATATAATTTTTTAAAAAAACAAAAAACTATAGCTCAAAAACTGCAGAGCCCTGAGTGAAGTCTTTATTTGCAACAAGGTCCTACTTATTTTGTGCAAGTGTTCCTGGAATAACAGCCCACAAAAGCTACCTTACCAGTGTGACTGAAGGCGTCTGTTCAAATTATCCATTTTGCAAGTCTCTTCTAATCAGAAGGCACACCCTGTGCAGGGGATGTGGGGTGATCACAAAGCTTGCCAGCTTTTATAGTATGGATTTTTCAGGCAAGGTGACAGGGGGCAAAAAGTTTAGTCTAAACTAGATACACAGAACAAAGGCAACAAAAACATGGCAGCACAGGTAAGACATCCTTAAAAAGCCTGGCAAGGCAAAATAGGGATGCTAATATATTAATTCAACCAATGGAGATTGAATTAGATGACCCTTGGGTCCCTTCGAACTATACGATTCTATGAATGTACAATTTATGTACCTGTGTATACAGGTATACAGGTACCTGTGTATACAGGGTTCAGCAATACCCTCATACAGTGGTGCCCCGCAAGACGAATGCCCCGCAAGACAAAAAACCCGCTAGACGAAAGGGTTTTCCGTTTTTTGATGCGCTTCGCAAGACGATTTTCCCTATGGGCTTGCTTCGCAAGACGGAAACGTCTTGCGAGTCTTGCGATTTTTTTCGCTCCCCCCCCTTTTCTAAGCCGCTAAGCCGCTAATAGCCTTTTAGCCGTTAAGCCTTTAATAGCCGCTAAGCCGCTAATAGCCTTTTAGCCGCTAAGCCGCTAAACCGCTAATAGCGCTAAGCCGCTAATAGGGTTGCTTCGCAAGACAAAAAAACCGCTAGACGAAGAGACTCGCGGAACGGATTATTTTCGTCTTGCGAGGCACCACTGTACTGTTATTCAAATGTAAAGTTCAGCAAGTGTACAGTCTATATATCTGGGTATAGAATAGCTGAGTTATACAAATCAAGTGCACACTCTTTCACACTAAGACAAGTGCCTGCATAGAGCTATCTTATACCTATGTTCAGTGCAGAGTGTTAACAAGTCAAATGTTAGCAGCAATCGGAGGACTGATCCTGCTTATCAGTCTGGATCAAAAGTTACGCAAGCCTAGCAGTTCATCTAGGAAAACTGTAGCTCACTGACAGGGAAATTGTTTTTCATGCAGAAGATCTCAGGGTTCAGTCCCTGGCATCTCCTGGTAGGATTCACTGGGGACAATACTGAGCTAGATGGACTAAGTTGCATAAGGCAACTTCCTATGAACTGATCCAACCAAGTGGGTTTGTGCTGTGCACACCAGCCTCATGGAAAAGATCCACTGAACAGGTTTTTAAAACTGTGCATGCTCAGTGCACAATCTTGGGGAGCATTTGAATCTATACAAGGTAGCATGTGCACTGCTGAACGCTGTCTCTCCCACACGTACTAAGTCTCTGCACACCTTCCAGGGCAGATCTACCTGCCAAACCCCATTCCGGAATGCAATCTTCTGGAGTGGGGAATTCTCCAAAGAAGGAGTTGGAGGGGGGGCTGTGGTCCTCCACCCGATGTTTTGAACTACAGATTCAATCATCTTCATCACAGCCTATGGTCAGGAAGCTGAGGTTGCTGTTGGCAACACTGTGCGAGCCACAGGTTCCCCACCCCTGAATAAATCAAGTGAGAGAAAGGAAATGTTGGCATTGCCAAACAAATAAAGTAATTTCTATCATACTGTGTGGCTTTGGGGGGGGGGGAAGAGCTCCAGATTTCTGGAAAGAAAGTGGCAGTCAGCACCATTTGTAAAAGATTTCAGTTACAAATACCCTTAAAACCAATGAGTCATTCCTGGAAAAAGTTAAATAAACCTGCCCTTGGTATCAAGAGTTTCCCATATATATTAGCTATTGCTAGACTTCTCTCCTTGCCAAATATTCTGAGACAAAAGCAGGTAGAACGGCTCAATAAAAATATAAAGCAGCTATAAATTCCTGAAATTGAAAATGCTGCAAAAATATATTTAAATATCAAGAGGTTAATCAAGCCTAGAGTCCTCTTATTGAATTATCAGAAAGCTCTCAATGTCCACTATGAATCTGAACCTGAGAGGACAGCAGAGAAAGGGATGCCGTAGCAGACAGACTTTTGTGACCATTCAATTGGCAGACAGTCATTAACCTTGACAAGATCACCTTTGCAGCACAGCAGGAAAAGTCCATCTCATTACAGTTCAAATCAGTTAAGGCTTGCAGCAAGAATCTGCCAGTACTTTGATGCTTTAAAACATTAAATGTTATTCTCCTCCAAAGTGAACTAGGTGTTTCCTAAATTGGCATTAATCAAAGGCAGAATCAGTCTGACATCCTGGAAATGTTCGAGCTTAAGGAGTCCTTGCTTTTAATGCATGCAATCCTATATTTACAAGTCAAAGCAGGATTTTTAAAAACCCCATTTTAACACACACTAGTTATTTTTACTGTTGCATAACTGTGGTTTCCTTCCAAGTTAAAAACTGATTTACAAAAGTTGCTTTGCTTCAGGGTCTCATGCAAAAAGACAGGTCAAACTCACTGAGGAGCAACCAGAACAGAGGGTACCCACACATAAAATAGGTAATGAGAGAAATAAATAGTTTCATGATAGCGTGAAAGGCTCTCTGTTAAGGAGCAGGAAAGCAGCTCAAGTAAGAGGGTGGGAATAAAAATAGGCCTTCCTTGCCTGACACACCGCCTACTCGGGATGAACATTGAGGTCACAAAGACAGCTAAGAACTCAGACCTGCCAGACTGCTATAGACAACAATGCAAAGTTACAACACAGCCAGAACAGCTTTGACTCATTTGCGGGTGCATGCTTGTTTTGTTTTCATATTATCGTAATTATCATAGTCTAAGACGGCTGGATGGCATCTTGTACGCCTCCTTCCAGCAACTCCTGCAGCCAAGCTGGTGCCAAATGTATTGCTCTGCTTTCCTCTGGACCACACCAGCAAGGCCCAGAGGGGGAGCTTGTTGTCTGGGCAGCCCAAGACCTCCAGACACACTGCCCAGGCTTGTCCCCCGGGGAGGTCGCTTCAGCAAAAACAATACAGGAGCCAACAGTTATGAGCTACAGGTCTTTGCAGCCCCAGCAGGCGCTGTGATTCTCCAGTTCCCCAAGGAGCACTCCACTGTCTCTCAAGACAGACAAATGCCAGCAACAACAGCGAAAGAAACACCGCACAATTGGGCAAAGCTAAAAGTCATACCCATCTAGAAGCAAAGGAAAGCTAGAATGCCAAACTCAGAGTTTGGGTTCTGTATAAATACAACACTTCACAAGATGAAGGAAAGATGGCTGCTATATAGATTATCACCAGAACTCAAGAGCGCTCAATCCATGATCAAACTCCCATCATCACCATATTGTGGGTTAAAGGGGGGGGGGGAATCTAAACTAGGGCATCTTACTACTTGGGTTTATAGGATCTGTGGTCACTCATCTCCATGTTTGTAACTTAGGGTGCTAACAGTACAGAAACTTGAAATTCAAACTATAAGTGTCTTGTGTCAAACAAGAATGGTGCATGCATGTTTAACCTTCTGTTTAACATCATGTGTGAACCAGGCCAGTGTCTAAAACCATCTCTGTTCTCCATAGCCTCTAACTTCTGCAGCCTGCCACTCCTTCATTTGTCTGGCAAATGTAAATGAAAGGGCTTGTCCTTTTTGGCGCAATTGTTGTACAATGGCTACCTACTAGAAGGCACTTTGTACATAATAACTATTATTTAAGTCATCTCTCATCTTAAAGAAATACATAGAAGTGGTCAGGGGCCCTGTTGAGTGACAGCTCTTCACTTCATCAAATCTGGCCCTCTTTGAAAGAAGTATGAACACCACTGCTCTAAACACAGGAAGGCCCCAAGTTTAATCTCCAGCATCTCCAGTTAAAAGGATCTCAAGAAGCAGGAGTACAAGGAGAGATACTCTGCTTGAGACAATGGAAAGTCACCATGAGAGTAGATGGATTACATCAGGCATCCCCAACCTTCAGCCCTCCAGATGTTTTGGACTACAATTCCCATCATCCATGACCGCCGGTCCTGTTAGCTAGGGATCATGGGAGTTGTAGGTCAAAACATCTGGAGGGCCTGAATTAGATGAACTCATTGTGTAATTCATTTTAAGCCAACCTCCTTATGTGCCATTCTCAAAATGATTTTACTGCATTTATTAACCACCCTGTGTGCTCTGGGGGTTAATTCAAGAACCAAGGGGGGGAATAAAATAAAAATCCTAAAACACAAGGAACACTGCACTAAACCAGCTAAAAGGGGTCTAATAAACCTAAGCAACAATATACAACTTTTAGTCATTTCCAAGAGTAAATTCAGAGGCTAAACTATGAGATTTTAAAGGTCTGGGAGAATAAAAATGGCTTTGTTTGCGAACAAAAGGTCACTGACAAAGGCATCAGGAGAACATCTCTGGAAAGAGCATTCCATAAACAGGGTGCCACTGCTAAGAAGGC